TGCTGTATCAGGGGCATAGACGAGTGGTTTGAGATGACCCGCTCTTGGCCAGAGCATCCCGCAGAATAGAAGCTCAGAGAGTAACATTTCAATATAGGTGTGGTCGGTCCTGCCCCCTTAACCTCACCCAATCCTGTTTGTGTGAAATGAGCGTCCATGCTCTTCAGGAACTTTAGGACATTCTTAAGTGCAAGATTTTTTTTTCTTACATCCTTGTGGATGTAATGGATATGTTTGTTTGTTTTTTTTTCTCAGAACCACTGGTTGAGACACTGTCTCCAAATTTATGTGAATGTTTCTTATACCACCTGCTGAATTCAAGAGGGTTTGTGCAACAGGAGGACTGATCGGAGCCAAACAGACTGTGGTTTTGTAGCAGAGGACCTTTATGTTCCACATGGTGGAGGAATCTCTGCTCAGGAGGTTTTTTTGGGTTGTTGCCTGTTTCAAAGGCTGGATCGAGTGGCTAAAGGCTGATGTTTTTCAATGTGAAAAAACAGCCATTGTCAATGAGAGAAGCCCTTATCTGTTTCAAGGGACGATCATAGTGTAGCTAGGAAGTAAATCTTTATGTTGTTTGAAAATTGGTTATCTCTACTGTTTGTTAAACAATCATGTGAGCTGAAGACCAAACAGTCTAACATGAAACTGTCAGTCTTGGTTAATCATTTGGCTTATCAAAACCATACTTCTGTGATTGTGTAGTTTAGTGGTTAAAAAAATATGAATAAGTGAAGACATACATAATTGTGATGATTCACGCTCTATCAGAGTGCCATAATACGCTGCTATGCCATAGACAGGGAAGTTTTCCTATAACCTTTGAACCTTTGTATTTGTACTGTAAAGGATTGCACAATAATAAATGTTTTGTCTTTGTGTCTCTCTGTATTGCACCAGAACTTGCTTTTACACAAAATGTATTATCTACCAGCCTAAAATAAACTATATATACATGCAGTATACAAATTATAATAACTATTATAAACGGAAAGTTACGTTACAGTGTTAAATTAAATTTAACTTAGTTGATTTACTGAATTTGGTATTGTAATTCAAAATATTTTTTAATAAACAGAACCTAAGGAGCGACAGGAAGTGGCTCTCCTAAAAGAGCGGAAATGCCGTCACTAAAACGTAAGCACGTCGTACGTTTCTTTGTGACGTAAGACGTAGGACAACGACGTCCATACGAACAGAAAATACTACATACCGACGTCTGAAATCGACAAATATACCTCACACTGGGCTAATTTTGACAGACAAAGCTCTGCTAATTGTATTTTGAAGTAAGTAAATACTTTCTTGACAACAACGTATATTTACTGTGGTTGTATTTAACCTCGTTAACATTTAAAAGCTCGTTAGCATGTTAGCACTCTCCTGCTAACTGGATGTTAAGGCTGAAAATAAGGTTTTACACATTGCCTTTTCAAGCTTTGCTGTCATTGCTTCAAATTGATGTGTAATTTATCTAACACGTTTATGTTTACAGCTTGGGGGAAAGATCTAGATCTAGTTCAAGATGTCGTACATGCTCCCTCATCTCCACAATGGCTGGCAGGTTGACCAAGCCATCCTGTCTGAGGAGGACAGAGTTCTGGTCATCCGCTTCGGACACGACTGGGACCCAACGTGCATGAAGATGGACGAGGTTCTGTACAGCATCGCCGAAAAGGTAAGCCACTACCAGTTCCTAATGAAACTGTATAGATTGTCATTTGTGGACGAACGTGATCATGATAAATGCAGTTCCAGGTAACTCAAAGAAACTTTAGGAAAATGAAAACAATGCATATGTAGTTTTGAAAAATTCATATTTTTTTAAATCCGCGGTAATAACACAGGCTGTTTCATGTTCAAAAAGCTGCTGACGTGCAGCTGCGTCTTTAACTAGGGTATTAAAATGCCAATGGGATTCATTCATTTTTAATGTGCTCTGCTGTCACTGGACACACACTGCTGTAAAATTAATCATCTTAAAGAAGAGGTTGAATGCAAAATCAATAAACGCACGCACGCACACCACGCAGCACACCTGACATGGTCATCAAACTGTTAGACTTGTTCATCATATTGTTTTAATTATTTATGGTAGTCATTTTGTTTATTATAATTAACCACTAAAGATGAGATTATTGTTATTTTGTTTTGCATTTCTAATATACTCTTTAAATTACTGCTGACATCTTAACAGGTGAAGAATTTTGCTGTTATTTACTTAGTGGACATCACGGAAGTCCCTGATTTCAACAAGATGTACGAGTTGTATGACCCCTGTACTGTGATGTTCTTCTTCAGGTAAGAACAGGAGCCGATCATTTCGAAGCCCTTCTGATGATGTTGTTTCTTCTTTTAGTTTCTAATTCTCGTCTTTCCTCAGGAACAAACACATCATGATTGATTTGGGCACAGGTAACAACAACAAGATCAACTGGACAATGGAAGACAAGCAGGAGATGATAGACATTGTTGAGACGGTGTACAGAGGAGCAAGAAAAGGACGAGGTCTGGTGGTGTCACCTAAAGATTACTCCACCAAATACAGATATTGATTATTTTTTTTACTATTTTCTTTTTATTGTTTTTGTTTCTCTGATGGATTTTGGAACATACAACAGAGACTACAAATCACAAAAGTCCGAGACGGCATCGTTTTCATCTGCATAACATCATTCTGTTGTGTTTGTGTAACATTTTATTTGTTTTTGTCTGTTTTAAACCAGAGACAATATTGTTATTTAATAAACAATTTTACAGAATATGTTTTGATATATATTCCTTAATGTCCACTGTTGCTTTGAAAATGACCTCCTTTGCAGGGTATCCTCCACTTGCGTCGGAGTTCGGTTTACATACATACTACAGCTTACAAAATAAGTAGGAAGACCACACACAAACTGAGAGTTTTGACAGTGACAGCAGAGTACAAAAAATGCTTCTGGGCGATGATGCAGGCCTTTGTCCTTATTGTGGTTGTGTTTTGCAAACTTTGGCTGGCAGGTTCATGGTAATATTCTGTGGTGGAGACTGCAAATTGATCTGCTTACATATAAGACAAGTGCAGTAGTTGAAAGAGCAGTGTGTTGTATGTGTACATACTTCCTTTTTTGGTAGACGTGTTTGAATGAACAATGCAGAAACGTCATCTGAACATTTTATTTAATTACCCACAACCACTCATTGAAACAAACAGGAAAGGTCTTTATATTAGCATTTATATATTTTTATTTGGTTTTTGTTTGTTTTTATATTTTTTATTGTGTCTTTTATTAGTATAGAGAATAAATATAAGAAGGCGAAAAGATATTTAATTTTTCTGCATCTCACTCGCTCAGAAAAAGAAAAAACATTTTGCAGTAAACAAAAAAATAATTAATTGATTAAGTGAAATTGGATAATTTCCCACTGTTTCCCGATGATCAAGGCACCCTAATGTGCCGCGGAACAGTGGTTGGAAATCACTGCCTTAAACAACAATTGTGGCGTTGAGCTTAAGTTTGCTCTCTCTCTTGTACGGGCCCATAATGTCCACAAGAGGGCGACAAACTGATACATTTAAAACCCTACCACACAGCTCACTCATGTATATATTAATCTTTGTCTTTTGTCTAATGTAATATTGAATGGAAAAAACAAGATATGTTATATTCTGTAATTTTGCCTCTCTCTCCCTCATTACCATCAGTTTGGAGTTTGTTGACCTAAACACGAACATCTGTCCAACATGTCAAACTTCACACTTTAGGTACAGTCTGTTTCGCAGCACATTTATATTTGATTAGCCTGTCTCTGAAACCTGGCTATCTTACACATACAATATTCACACACACCACCGACACTATTAATCGTTGCACTGCAGATGTCGGTGAGTGGACACATTGAACTAAAGCATGAATGCATTTTAATACATATAAGGTATTGTTTAATTGTTTCTTCATTATAAAGCTGAGGGTACAACAGATTTATTTATACAACACGTATGAATTCATTAATGAAATACAGTCATTTGTATAAAACAAATGTACAGTAGGAATAAAAATACCCTCCTTTGACCTGCATTGTTTACAGTTACACACTTAACCTACGTATATTTCCATTCTTAGTCGATTAATCACAATTGGACACTTACATATTCGGGGTTTCTAATAGAATTGTCTTTAGTCATAATATGGTAACCTTATTTTATTTATTTATTTATTTATTTATTTATTTATTGCCAGCCTTTATTAATCTTTTGGAACCTTTTGGTTTTTCAGATTTAATATGCATTTTATTTACATAAAAAAACCTTTGATATCTTACTTGTCCCCTCCCTCTGCGATGGTTAAGAATAACACGAGCAGATGTTTCATATTGTTAATATGCTGCTTCAGCCTCCTTTCATTGATGCTGACATACATCAGCAGCCGGGTGTCTAATGGTTTAATTCCTCCCCCCTTCTCTGTGATTGCTTTTTACACCACATGGGGATTCGTGACTAATATGTGCATCTTTTAGTGGCTTCCTGTATGATTCCCAACAGGATGTCATCCCACCGCCTGACACAAAATCAGGATCTTAGGTGGCTTAATGGTGACAAATACCACCACACATACACACGGGAGGCACCGTTTACACCCACTGAACCCACATAGACACAGCCCACTTACACACTCCAGCTCCATTCACAGACTCCAGGCCCAATTAGCACATGCCCGGTCCTCACAGGCAGGGCAGGTCTCCTACTACGCAGGAGGTGCAACGCTGAGAAATGAAGGCAACACACACACACACACACACACATACAAACAGCTTCCGGGCGCAAAACAAGGATATGAATCATCTGCGACTACAAAGGGAGCTGCAGTAAATCTAACACATGACCTAAAGTCATGTCATTGATATTACTTTGCTCGAGGTGACTCACATGTTTGCAGCTTACGAATTTCTAGGCACATTTTAATTTTAAGTAGGCGTCATGCAAATACCTGGTGGTTGTTCTGGTGTGTGGTTTTGCTTCAAATGTGTGAGAACAGTCACCTGACTCTGTGAGCATGCATGTGATATTGCTAATCCATACTATTTGCAATTCTGTTTTCAAACTCATTTCACTAAGCTCCACATTTAAGCAGACATCAGACTGAGGACCATCATTGACGTTAGTAAATGTGATTATTCATTATCTGACGGTCCAAAGCTGCACTTTATCTCACACCATTTCCATCACCTCCCTCCTCCTACCAGTCTCTCATCATCATCTCCCTCTCCTCCTATTTCAGCCACTGTCCCTCTGCCTGTCTTCCTGTGCTCACACAGAACCCCATCCCTCCTCCCTCCTCCCCCTCCTCTTCCTCTGCCTCTGTCAATGTGTTTTGCCCTTATAAGGATAGAGCACAGGCAGACTGTACTAACCTTCGTAGCTCAGTGGGGGTGTTGCAGGGCTACTGAGAGTGGATTGTAGAAAGGCAGGTGTGACGATGAAGATGATGCAACGCACATGACAACTACAATTCTTTCTATGACTCCTGATGAGATGACAGACACTCTGTAGCGATCAGATTTAATGTGAGGAAGAGGAGGAGAACGTGGTAGTTCAGGGTGATGGAGACCATGCTTGAGGCGATGTTTGTAAGAGACAAAGCACTTCCTGGCCTCCTTGTTGGTCTACATTGATTTTACACAATGCTCAAGTTTTCTTGAGCATTGAGTGAGCAGAAGCTGCGTGATGCAGGCTCACCAGCTGCCTACGTGTCCTCATCGATACCGAAGTCCAATAATGAACCTTTGTGAGTCATGGAGGTGAGGTGGGGGCTTCACGGCAGAAGTCTGTAGAGCAGCTGACTTCAAGTGCTGTGTCTTTTGATGTCAGTCGAGGGGGCGGATAGGTGATGTGGGGTAAAGGGGGGAGGAAGCAACCTTTACCAGCTTGAAGCATAGACAACATAGAAAAGAATAAGTGATGAAACATTATTGAGTAGGTTCACAAAACTTATTCTCCAATCCATCCATTCATTAATGCATTCATTCATTCTTTAATTTATTCATCCACTTTATTGGTCAGAATGTTCTTGTCACTAAAGGAACAGGATTCAGCCTCAGACTCTGGTCACCAGTCCATTTCAGCACCACGGAGAGAGACAATAACACAACTGTAGTTCAAAGTGTAAAGTCTTTGACTCAGTGTTTATACCATCAAAATACAGTACTAAAAAACTGAGACACAACAAGTTCATTCATTGTCTTGTTGTTGTTTACCTCCTTTGGTTATTTTAACTAGGATCATGTCAGCCCTCTCACCTGTTTGTTTGCAGTTGTTTTATTAGGGAATGGGAATGTTACCTGTGAATGTGTTCAACAGGGAGATCCTGGAACTCCTGGTGCTGTTGGTATAAGAGGAA